GTTAGGTTTTTCTGATCCACAAGAAGCAAATTTATACCTATTTCTGAATTAAGCACAAGATAAAGAACAGCTGTTAATATTTTTTTAAGAATATTTTAAATGGTGATTTTGTATAATTGAAGAAAAAGTCTTGCTAATTTTACCTAATGTTTCATCATTAATCTCAGGACAACTTACTGCAGGGCCAAAAAAAGGGATTGTTTCCCAGATAGGACTCTGAGAGTGCATGTAGGCATCATCGTCTGGCATTGTCTAATCCATCTCTGACATAATAGAGATTGTTTAAGAGATTTAAATCTAAAACCTGAAGATGTTTTTAAAACAATATTAACAACTGTTAGATTTTAAAAGAATAACCGAACACATTTGTTTTCAGTCATTATACACTGCTTTGTTTCAATCACAGTAATTTTTTCTTCAGTGTTTTGTGATCACACTATTAGGAAAAAGTAAAGGGCTCATTGCTGTGTGAATTAGTAGATTTGGCTAAACTACTTACATGGGACTTTAAAAGTATCTGAGGGATTCGATGGCTCCGTGTAATGTTCTCATTGATAAAACACGTCCTAATATCCTTGGAGCTATCAGTATTTTCCAGTTTTGTTGGTCTGTGATCTACCTATAGTTTAAATTATACAGAAAGTAAATTGTGGCCAGTGATTTCATTTAGTTGGAAGAAATTGGGAGTAATTATGACACAAAGCACTTACATTTATTAGTGAGCTGGATTCTCCTGAACCTATACTATTATATGGAAGCTGCCATACATTTTCCCCCTTACTTTGATTTACAAGAGCCTGTGCAACAGCTCAGGAACGGTGTTCTTGTGAGACAAGCCAAATATGTCACTAAGGCAAAAAAAAGGCATAAAGCTTAGGCCTGACAAGCCAAATATGTCACTAAGGAGAAAATAAAAGGCATAAAGCTTAGGCGTGTATCTTTAAAAATCAAAAATTGTACTTGATTCTCACCTATGGACTTCTGACATGTTCACTACGTGGAGTCTTAAAGTTATAAAGGTTCAATATGTGTTTTGAACAATATGCTAAATCAGTAGCAAACCCACTGCCATATTAGTTGTTCAGGAGATACTAAAAGACATTAAGCTAGACTGCAGTTTAAAAATTAAACTGTATATAATGTGCATATAATGAATTTTTATCTTATGTAAATTATTTTTAGAACACAAGTTGGGAAATGTGGCTTCTGTTCATTTCGTTTAATTAAAGCTACCTCCTAAACTATAGTGGCTGCCAGTAGCAGAATGTTAAATTGTGGTTTATATACTTTTTGCATTGTAAATAGTCTTGGTTGTATATTGTCAGTGTAATAAAAACAGAATCTTTGTATATCAAAATCATGTAGTTTGTATAAAATGTGGGAGGGATTTATTTACAGTGTGTTGTAATTTTGTAAGGCCAACTATTCACAAGTTTTTAAAATTGCTATCATGTTTGTATATTTACACATCTGATAAATATTAAATCATAACTTGGTAAAAACATCTAGCTAAAAGTTTTTTCTTTTCAAAAGTCATGTTACTGAATACTTTCATTGCATCATTTAAAAAATAGACTAGCAGATATCTAAAATATGTGGTAAACTGTGCTATACATATGGTAGGAAATACAATATTGTATGCAGTGTGTTTAATTATTAAAGTTTCTGGAAAGCAATCTATTTTGCCTTAATTTATACTAGATATATTAATGAATTTGCTTAGTGTTAAACTAAGCAAATTGAAGTAAAATATTTTTAAGAGTATTAGAAGAAATGTTGAGAGAACACTTTGCTGAAATTTAGAAGTGAGGTTTTATTCTATCTTAAGTCTGAACCATACTCACGGAAAACAAACTGTGAAATTTAAGAGGATACCATCAATTATATCTTATTTAAAAGCAAATTATTTTAAAAACTGCATGATTCCAGTTATAGCCAATTGCTCAAATGCAGTAGTCCTCCCTTTCCTCCCTTATCTGAGGTTTCACTTTCCATAGTTTTAGTTGCCTGTAGTCAACCGCAGTCCAAAAATATTAAATGGAAAATTCTAGATATAAAAAATTCATAAGTTTTAAATTGCACACCCTTCTGAGTAGTGTGATGAAATTTTGCACTGTTCTACTCTGAAACGAATCGTCCCTTTGTGCAGTATACCCTGCCTGTTAGTCACTTAGTAGCTGTCTCTGACTATCTCAGTGCTTGTGTTCAAGGAACCCTTATTTTACTTAATAATGGCCCCAAAGCACGAGAATAGTGATGCTGGCAATTCAGATATTCTCATACTATGCCTAATTTATAAATTAAACTGTATGGGGAAAAAAACATAGTATACATAGGGTTTGGTACTATCTACAGTTTCAGGCGTCCACTGGGGGTCTTGGGACATATCCCCTGTGGATAAGAAGGGTCTATTGTGCTTAGAAATAATTCAGTATTCACAGTCATCAAGACTTCATTTTACAGATGGGAAAATAGAGGGCCTAATGAAATTTAAGTGAATACCTGACACATACAGCAAATTAGAACCCAAACCAGCACCCAGTTCCCCTTAATTTGAGATGTTTTTTGTTTTTGTTTGTTTTAAACTTCAGTATATGTTTGGAATTCCCATAACCAAAAGTAGAATACTATAATTACCCCTCCTCCCATGCCCTAGGCCCTTACTGCCCATACCCAACACCCAGCTTTGGCAGCTGTCAACAGCACATGGTAAATCTTGTTTCCCCTTCATCCCATTCACTCACCTTCTCTAATCCCTCTGCTCCTTGGATTATTTTGAAGCAAACCTAAAACTGTTTCATCTGAAAATATTTCAATATGTCCAGGGATACATTTTTTTAAATTGTGTCATATATTGCAATAGGACTCACTGATAATGATGTTATTTTTGAAACAGAGATTTTCAAGCAAGGGTCACTCTTCACTTACACAAGTTTACAAAGCCAGCAAAAAATAGGAATTATCTCAAATATAGCGTGAAAGTGAAAATAAATGAGTAGTAAGAAGAGAAGTTACTAAGTTAATACCCTGAAACTTAAGGGGAGAGGCCCTCTTTCGAGCTTATTTATACATTTTATATAATGCAACCAAACTTGATTATGGTTTCTGTCCCAGTAATGAAAAGGCGCTGTAAGAAAGGAGACCACAGGACTTGATTATGTTCAAGCACCAGCACCAGCAGCTCTTAGCCTCTTAGCTCCAGGATTGTTACAGCATAATGCAGTAGTTGGTCATCATGATGATTCTGAGGCGTCAAGGGCATAATTTGTTTAAAACATTTTAGATCCCATAGCAAGAGGTTACAGTGGAACAGTTTTGGAGTTTAAATGATACAAGTTACCATTTACCATTTTCTCTTGTCTGGTCCTGTGCTAGAAGCTTTGCGAATTAATAAAATATGACTGGGAGATAGATTATTCCCCTATTTTACAGAGGAGTATGTCAGAACTTGGAAAGGCAAAACAGCTTGTTTAGGGAAAACTAGCAAATAAGAGGAAAACCACGGATTCAAATACAGGTCTCTTACATACTAAAACTTGGTGTGTTTTTTTCCTACTAGGCTTCAGTAATGTGGGGTGATGTTTGTTGGGAATAGCTTCTCAAGTTTACCCCCTTATGAAGCCCTAAAGTGGCCCAGGGTGATGCTGTTGTTATTGATTCGAGAGATGCTCTCCTAAAAGGTTTTAACCAGATACACCAATATTGAGTAATTGGGATACAGAATGAAAACTCAAGCCATTTTATTCCTCCATCAAGTCTATCACTCATTTAAATTGCTCTAGTTTTCTTCCATTTTCATTGTTTTTACTGAAAATTTTAACAAAAGTTACATTCCATTTAAATAGTTTTAACCATGTCATATTTTATTAACCATAGCTTCTGTCTTCTGGATTGCCCTTAGTTACTATTATTTCTACTGTAATTCTTTGGTGTCAAATTTTGCAGATCTAAATTTCATTGAAGATTTCATATCACTCTTTGGTCAGTGACAAATCCTGTGTGCTGTTTTAGCCATTGTCAGTTTTCATTGTGTGGTATTTCTACAGCAATATGCATTATGAGCTGGATAAAGCCCATTTACTTAGAAGTGTACACAGTTCTGTCAGCATGAATAAAGGAACCAGCTTTAATATCTATCACCTCTTCCTTACTACCTTCATCCCCATCCCCAATCCCTGAGGAGAGTTCTCCTTCTGAAGTCCCACAAAATGTTTTCATTCCTCACAAAATGCATATAACAGAATATTTTAACGGTATGACTCTTCACCACAAAAGAATGAGGAGCTTGTAACGGCTTGTTAACGGCAAGGCTTGTATTTTATATATCTCCAGTGCTTAGCACAGACCGTAGTACACTAGAGCCTTCAGAAAGGCCCCGATGTTCATATGCACTAAACAAACGAGTTCCTGTAAGATGCTAGGCAGACGAAGGGCTACCAAAAACAATGAAAGATTGTACCAAAAGTGCATTTTTAGATACACCTCTAAACTTGGATAATGTTCGCCCCCCACCCCCTAAAATACGGCCGTGTGCTGAGAGAAATCACGGCTGATCCTTGTAACCCTGACCTTGTAATGATACGGGGTTAGTTCTCGCTCCTGCTTTTCCCCCTCAAAATATCTGCCTTACTCAGTGATAGCACATTTCCTGTACCGAATGAACCACAGCAAACAAGGGACGGGCCCTCCAAGCTGTCAGCCGGGAGCGGGACCTTATCCGTGAGCGGAGCGCGGGTTTAAGTCAGAAGAAGCAGCGCAGGTCCAGGCCAGGGAGGAGGGAGGGCTGCCAAGAGCCTGCAGGGCGCCGGAAGCCACCTTCTACAGGGCTGGACAAAGCCCAGGCGGCCTCCACGCGTCGCCATGGCAACGCAAAGTCAGCGCCCGTCCGGATTGGCCGCGCCGCCGCGCGCGGGGCCTGCTGGGAGAGCACGTCCCCGCCGCCGCAGCCCTGCCGGTTTGAACTTGGCGGGCTCCGTGAGGGCTGTGGGGCGGTAGGGGGTTGTTTTGCCCCTTCCCGACTCCCGGTTCTTGGCCGACTGCAGGTCCAGGCCTCGGCCCTCCTCGGGCTCCTTCTCCGTCCTCATGGCGGGCGCCCGGGGGCAGGGGCTAGAGGCGGTGGAGGTGTGCTCGCTGTCGCCGCCGCTGAGCTGCGGCTATTCCACCATGTCGCTGTTGTCTCCCCTCGGCCACAAGAGCTTCCCGTTTGACGACGACGACGGTGACGGGGAGGAGGAGGTAGATGTGAACGAAGATGCTCATGACTCAGAGGCCAAGGTGGAGAGCCTGAGAGGAATGGAGTTACAGGGGTGTTCCAGGTAAACCCGAGGCCGCCGGCCGATACAGCCTCTCTCAAGATTTCTTAGACCTTTCTAAATACTTTCTTCTGGCGGCCAAACACCCTCTTGTCTTCCCTCTCAAAGGCTGCACGGGCACCTGCATCCACAGGTGCTGCTGCTTTTGGCGCATAGAGTCTGGGCCGGTTCTTACACATGACCACAGATTTATCATCGTTCTTAATCCTTTTTCCTGAGAATGTGATGATTCCTACAGTCTCGCTCCCCAGAGAAACGCACCTAGTCTTAAACATAAACTTTTGCTGCAATTTCAGGAGTCTTATGAAAACTCAGAAAACAGACTGGGGACACTAGAACTCTTGTCCAAACCCTTAATACCAAAATGTAGTTGACTGCACCTTAGTGATACCTGGAGCTATTTTGAAAACAGTCTGATTGTCAGTGAAGTATGTTGTAGTAAGCAGTATACTTTTTATGTCATAGATTAAGAGCTGAAGCTTGGAGGCTAGCAATGTCAACTTCAGCATCCAGAGACAATGTTGGGTCTGCTGTGAGCACTTAACAGTAGAAAAGAAGTTATTGAATCAGAGAATGTTAGAATCAAAGGGATTATTAAAGCCATCTTAATTTATTTATTTCTGCAGTTCATTCGGCAAACAGTTTGTGCCATATGGGGCCCATAAACAAGATAGGCATTGTCTGTACTCTCATGGAATTAAAGCCTACATCTAGCCACTCATTTTACAGATAACAAGACTGGCTCAGGATACAAATAAAAAGTCTAATTCAAAGGCATACACCTAGTTATTAGCAAAGCTGGGCCTAGTCCCAAGGTATATTGCTCGTGTTTTCTCTTCCCTATGCTACGTGCCTGTTGTTGGGCATAAAGAAATAGGAGCAAAGGGCCTATCCCTGCAGGAATATCTTTTTCTGGGACAGACTTAGTGATGCAAGTCCATTCAGAGGTAGACTCATTATGTCATCTAAAGGAAGCATTTACAAGTTTCTGATTGTCAAGCTGCACAAGGCACAATACAGGAGATCTAAGACATACAGACCAAAGAACCCATGCTTCATGTGTAAGCAACCAGTTAAACCCCTTTGCTATAAGACATGCATACACAGAGTGAGTAAATGGAATATGGAACCGTATGAAGTGACTCACATACACAGTTACAACAGTGAGTCTCTTAAGAATGAGAAGTAAACATTAGTACTTTGGTAGGAATGGAGATCAGTAAGAGTGACCAAGCAAGCCACTTGTCCAGACTGGTTGTAACAACAAGAAAGTTTCAGGAGTCTGTTTTCATGTGGGCCTTTGTACAGATTCTTCAGAATCGAGTTGGCCTCAGTGATTTTTAAAATAAATGATTTTAAAAATAATTTTAAAATAAAGTACCTTCTAAGCCTAATCAGCAGGACTAAGCAATGTAGACAGTTTAGCAACCCAAGGAATGATGGCCATGAAAACTACAGCTCAGCTACTGAGACCTTGCATTAGCTTCCAAGAGCCAAAGCCCTGACCAAATGGAGCTCATTACAGGAGGAGCCAGTCATATTTATGTCAAACCTTAGCCAAAGCTCGAATGAGCTGGTAACACCCCAGGGCCATAGCTGCCTTCCTATCACAGTTCATCCCCTCTGAATCAAGGCAATAGGTAAGATGTGGTCTGGAGAGAATGCAGGAATTGTCAGGCCTGTGTGTGGCAAGTGTCAGATGCTTATTAGGTGTTCAATAAACATATGCTGAAGGAATGCCTATTTCCCACTTCCTAGAGAACAGATAGTTGTGGTGATTGTTTTCAAATGCTTCAGAAAACCCAGCACTTCTTTTCAGGAAAGAGAAGTGTTTAGAACATTTCCTTATTCCTCCTCCCTACCTCTCACCTTTAGTTGGTGCCCTGACAGTTTGGGGGTGATGGGATGAAGAGGGCAGGTGCCTGAGCTGTAGCGGTGAGCATCCTCTTGTGGACCAGAGTGTGGAATTTTATGCCTTTTTTTTTTTTCCATCCTTCACCTGCCACAGGGATCTGACTGTGGCAAAACTAATAGGGTGGGGCTTTCTTGGGATAGACTCAGGCATCAGCTGCACATGATGGGGTTGAGCTGCAGGTATTTTCGGTGTATAGAGCTGTGCTTAGAGGACGCACTGACCTTCAGGTGTGTTGGATAGCACTGCGGTAAATAAAGCTCACAGGTGACTTTAGACAAGATAATGAGAAATATTTTCCTGGAGTCTTTTATAATATGCATTGGGCCTGCTGTTTGTTCAGCTTTATCCTGGAAACCCATTAGGAAACCCGTGCCTTAATAAACGTCTTGGTCATAAACAGCTGCTTATCAAGCCTCTCTTGATTAAGAGTAGAGCTGTAGTATATATGCCACACATTTTGAATATATTTGTTAAAACTGATGAGGCAAGAAATGTAATATTGAAAGTGTCATTTTAAAAAGAAAACACTGATCTCACTGATTTCTTCTTTCAACAAACATTTCTTAGGAGCCTACTATATTCTAGGCTCTAAGCTAGACTCTTGAAATAAAAAATGAGTTAAGACATGTTTTCCGTCTCTTAGGAATTCATGGTTTCTGGCAGAGATGGACAAGTGACAGAAAGCCTAAGGCACTTAGTCCAGATTTTTTGCAGAATGAGGCAATAAAGGTTAAAACCTGAGCTAAATCTTAAAGGGAGAGTAGGAATTAGCTATACTCCTCCTAGTAGTACTGACACGTTCCAAATGCTTACTGAGTGCCCGGAACTGAGGTAAGTGCTGTAGTGTGGATCGTTCATGCCACAGTACCTGTGAGGTAGCCACTACTATTTTCTCCACTTAACAGATGACAAACGGAGGCTTAAAGAGGTTAAAAAATGTACATAGCTAGGAAGCAGCAGGTAGAGATTCACCCAAATGTTTTACTCCCAAATCTAAACTCTTACTTTGGCCGTGTGTGGAGGTAGAGGAAAAGAATTTCAGAATTTTAAGCAAAGCTGCAGAGCACAAGGGCGTGGCATATTCATCAACGTGCCTAAGTTCAATAAGACTGAAACGTAGAGTCCAGATCAGCTATTGGTGGACGAAGAGGCTGGAAGATAAGCAGGACCGATTCATGGGTGTCAGGCTGTGGAGTGTGGATTTCATCCTATGGGCAGAGGAGCACTGAAGAATTTTGAGATGGGGAGTGACATGTCGGAAGGATGCATTTGAAGGATGAATCTGGCAACGGTGGAGAATAGTTTGAAATGGAGGGAGAAAGGCCGGTTATGACCAGACAGCAGTTGTGAGGTTGTAGAAGAGAAGAATGGCTTGAGAAAACTGAAAGAAGTAAAATAGACAGGATGGGGTGATTATATGGGTGTGGGACCTAGAGGTACCAAATGTGGACGGGAAGCAGGAGTCAAAGATCTGGCTTCTGGCTTGGCTAACTGGGTGGGTGTTGGTACTCTTCCCCGAGGTAGGATTATAAGAGGAGGAGTAAGATTCTTCTTGTTGGGGAGGGTAGTGAGTGGGTGGTAGATGATTCGACTTGTTTTAGACTGGTTGAGTTTGGTATTTAAGTGGAGCTGTCTATTGGATGGTTGAAAATGAAAGTTTGGAGCTGAAGGGCAAGGTTTAGCCTGGAATGCCCGATCCAGGCCTCATCAGCACCTAGTGACAGTGGAAGCTCCGGGAGGGTAAGGTGGTGATCTGCAAGACTGACAAGGAAAGATATAGGAAATAAATGACACATCAACAGTGTCCCTTTCCCACTAGAATACAAATTCCATAATGACATGGATGAATGAAGAAACAGCAGAAAAAAACAAGTAAATGGAAGCTACAAGGCAGAAAAAGCTGAGCATGGCAGTGGACGAGGCAGTTGGTTGCCTGAAGCAGGAATGTTAGGGACAAAGAGGGGCTGAGTCTATAATAATGTAGTGTTTTGAGCTGCCTCGGGTCCTGAACAAGCTTTCTTTCCACGCGTGCTCATGGTTCAGCTGTTCCTGCTTTATGGGGCTTGTGTATCTGGGCAAGGCCCTGTGTTCTTTATGTATGTATGTTCTCACAGTACTTCTCCTCCCCTCTTCTTTTGAGCTTGAGTGAGTGCTTACTTTTCCACATACCCAGAAGAGACAGACTGACAGAGGTTCGTGGTAGAGACTATGGTAGGAGGTAACCCAACTCTGGGGAGCTGTGGACACCCTATCTGAGAACTGGCAAAAGGGAGTCCACCAAAACATGAAAGAATACAAGGACCATATATTTTTGATACCTTTTTATTTCAAAACAATTTCAAACTTACAGAAAAGTTGAGAGTGTAAAGAACTCTGTCTGCCTTCACACCAAAACCTTAATTGCTACCACATTAGCTTTACCATCCTCGCTGTGTAGGTATGTATTCTTCCCTTCGTGAAGTATTTAAAGGAGGAAAAGGGAAAAGTCTGCTCCAGGATCTGGCTAGACACATGTGTTGTAATTAGTAGTCCAGATATAAGATTTTTAAGAATTAAAAAAATTGTTGTAATTGAGGCAAATGGACTGGGTGTGATTTTAGAACATGAGAGAATTCAAAGGCAGTCTGAAGGGTAAACTAATTCAAACATTGGACTTTCTGATCATGGTTTTTCAAGTGTATATTTATATATGATTAATTCAGCATATTTATATATAAAAATCACAGTATTGTAAATATGTTGTGGAATTCTGCTTTCATTGTACAGCTAAGTGACTTTGACTGCTAAGCCAAAGAGTTTTGAGTACAAGTGCTGTAGTATCCTCTCTTTTGCAATAGTGTGGTTGGACCCGAAGATAACCAAGAAGAACAGAAACAGGTGCAGTTACCGGAAAGCAGCCTGACACCGTGGGAAGTGTGGTTTGTTGGCAAAGAAAAAGTAGAACGTGACCGTCTGCAACGGAAGGCTCTAGAGGTAAAACTAGACAGTATTCTTTCTGTTTAGTCCATGAGCTCACAAAGTAGAGCTGCTGTCGAAATTAAAATGTTATTGTTATTATCCCTCACAACAGACTTTTTGCATTTTCTTGTATCAGTTTGCTATATTGATACTAATAACTTACTGGAGAAATAATACATGTTCATTATAAGAACATCTGGAAGATACAGCTAAGCATAATTAGGAAAATGAAAATCTCTAATCTTGTCCCCTGGAGATAACTATTGTTTGTTTTTGTGGTTTTTTAAAAATTTATTTATTTTTGGCTGCAATGAGTCTTGGTTGCTGCACTTGGGCTTTTTCTAGTCGTGGGAAGCGGGGGCTACTCTTTGTTGTGGTGCACGGGCTTCTCATTGCAGTGGCTTCTCTTGTTGCGGATGGAGCATGGCTTCTAGGCGCGCGGGCTTCAGTAGTTGTGGCACGCAGGCTCTAGAGCGCAGGCTCAGTACTTTTGGCACACGGGCTTAGTTGCTCCACGGCATGTGGGATCTTTCCGGACCAGGGCTCGAACCTGTGTCCCCTGCATTGGCAGGCAGACTCCCAACCACTGTGCCACCAGGGAATTCCCCATAACTATTGTTAATATTATGGCATATAGCCTTCCACATTTTCTTCTATGTAAATTTTAAAAAACATGTGCAAATGTATATTCATATAGTGTCACCATATGTACATTTAACTAAAGTGAGCTGCATATACTTGGTAAAATTTTTAAGAGAAATAAAAATTGAAGTAGAGGCTGGAAATCTATCCCCATATCACTCAGAGCATGTGCCCCAGAGTGAGTTTGTGCTGGGAGATGGGAATCTTCTGGGCTTTCAGGTTTTTTCAGTTTCTCTTTGCCTCCCTGCCTCACTTGTGGACATTTTTGTATTCGTAATTCTCTCTGAACTCTGTGCAAACTCAAAAAATAGTTTGAGATACATTTTCACATGAATCCGTCATTCTTTGAACTCTTATCATTTGCTGTTTAGAACCTAGCAGCCAAATAGATTTGGATAGTTTGGCATCCTCCAGTATCTAGACCAACTGAATTCTCTCTATCCAGACACAGAAACCAGGTAGATTTGAGTGGTGAGGGATATGTCTTGTTTTTAATGAATAGGATCACTCTTTTGTAACCTGCTTTTTTCTGCTTATTGCATTATTAATGTTTCTGTATCATTAAATATTTTTATAGCATCATTTAAAAATGGCTAAGATTATTAAAATATATTTAGAATGTATTGAATATATAATAGAATATAGTTAACCAGTTCACTATTGTTGCATATTTAAGTTTATTCTAATTTATTACTCTCCCTGTTACTGTAAAATCCTTGGAATTGAAACTTCACCCTCCATGATCTTCTTGGAGTAAATTTTCCATTTCAGTTTTGAAACTAGTTGTTCTTTCTGTGATGGCTTTCTAGCCAGGTAGGCAGTCTTGGCATGATTCAAATGATTGTAGAAGCCAGTACATTCTGCAATTTCCCTATTGCAGTATACTTTGTATTCTAAGTACAAATTTATTCCTGGAAAAGTACACAGTAGTATTTGTTTCTGCTTAGAAGGGCACAGGACTTGAGAAAGACCTTATGGTTTGATGTCAGGCAGGCTTATTTAAACTTTTACACTTCCATTTCCTCATCTCTACAGTAAGGATAAAATAATGCTATCTGGTCACAGGGTTTTTTAGAGCAGCGGTCCCCAGCCTTTTTGGCACCAGGGACCAGTTTCATGGAAGACAGTTTTTCCACGGATTTGGGGAGGGGGGGGATGGTTCAGGTGGTAATGCGAGCGATGGGGAGCGGCAGATGAAGCTTTGCTCACTTGCCCACCACTCACCTCCTGCTGTGCGGCCCAGTTCCTAACAGGCTGCAGACCAGTACTAGTCCACAGCCTGGGAGTTGGGGGACCCCTGTTTTAGAGGATTAAATGAGACAAATTATAAAGATGGCTGGTGTTTTTATTGGTATTGTTATTGATATCATTGCTAGTCACAGTCTTTTTCTTTCTCTTTTACTGAATTATGGTTGATTTACAATGTTGTATTAGTTTCAGATGTATAGCAAGCTGATTCAGTTTTATATATACATATGCACACATACATATACACGTTTTCAGATTCTTTTCCATTATAGGTTATTATAAGATATTGAGTATAGTTACCTGTGCTATAGAGTAAATCCTTGTTGCTTATGTATTTTATATACAGTAGTGTGTATCTGTTAATCCCCAACTCCTAATTTTTCCCTCCCCCATCTTTCCCCTTTGGTAACCATAAGTTTGTTTTCTATGTCTGTGAGTCTATTTCTGCTCTGTAAATACATTCATTTGTATCATTTTTTTAGATTCCACATATAAGTGATATCATATGATATTTTTCTTTCTCAGTCTGACTTCACTTAGTGTGATAATTTCTAGGTCCATCCATGTTGCTACAAATGGCATTATTTCATTCATTTTTATGGCTGAGTAATATTCCATTGTGTGTGTGTATGTGTGTATACACGTGTGTGTGTGTGTATGTATGTACATATATATATATCCCACATCTTTTTTATCCATTCATCTGTTGAGCATGTTGAGCATGGTTGTTCATGGTTGCTTCCATGTCTTGGCTATTTGAAATAGTGGTACTGTGAACATTGGGATGCATGTATCTTTTCAAATTAGAGTTTTCATCTGTTCTGAATATATACCCAGGAGTGGAATTGTTGGATCATACGGTAACTCAATTTTTAATTTTTTAAGGAACCTCCATACTGTTCTCCCTAATGGGTACACCAATTTACATTCCTACCAACAGTGTAGGAGGGTTCCCTTTCCTCCTCACCCTCTCCAGCATTTATTATTTGTAGATTTTTTGATGATGGCCATTCTGACCAGCGTGAGATGATACTTTATTGTAGTTTTGATTTGCATTTCTCTGTAATTAGCTATGTTGAGCATCTTTTCGTGTGCCTGTGGGTCATCTGTATGTCTTTGGAGAAATGTCTATTTACGTTTTCTGCCTATTTTTTGATTCTGTTGTTTCTTTTTTTTGATAATAAGCTGTATGAGCTTTTTGTATATTTTGGAAATTAATCCCTTGTTCGTTGTATCATTTGCAAATATTTTCTCCCGTTCCGTAGGTTGTCTTGTCATTTTGTTTATGGTTTCCTTTGCTGTGTATATAAGCTTTTAAGTTTAATTAGGTCCCATTTATTTGTTTTTGCTTTTATTTCCATTACTATAAAAGACAGATCCAAAAAAGTATTGCTGCAGTTTATGTCAAAGAGTGTTCTGCCTATGTTTTCCTCTAAGAGTTTTATAGTATCTGGCTTTACATTTCGGGCTTTAATCCTTTTTGAGTTTATTTTTGTGTATGGTGTTAGAGAATGGTCTAATATTATTCATTTACATGTAGCTATCCAGTTTTCCCAGCACCACTTATTGAAGAGACTGTCTTTTCTCCATTGTATATTCTTGCTTGTTTTGTCAAAGCTTAATTGACCATAGGTGTGTGGGTTTATTTCTGGGCTTTCTATCCTGTTCCATTGAACTATATTTCCGTTTTTTGCACCAATACTATACTGTTTTGATTACTGTAGCTTTGTAGTACAGCCTGAAGTTAGGGAGCCATATTTCCTCTTGCACTGTTTTTCTTTCTCAGGACTGCTATTGGGGTCTTTTGGCTATTTGGGGTCTTTTATATTTCCTTACAAATTTTAAGATTCTTTTGTTCTAGTTCTATGAAAAATGCCATTGGTAATTTGGTAGGGATTACATTGAATCTGTAGATTGCCTTCGATAGTGTAGTCATTTAGACAATATTGATTCTTCCAACCCAGGAACATGGTATATCTTTCCACATGTGTGTGTCATGTTTGGTTTCTTTCATCAGGGTCTTATAGTTTTCTGAGTACAGGTCTTTTGGCTCCTTAGGTAGGTTTATTCCTAGGTATTTTATTCTTTTTGATGTGATGGTAAATGGAATTGTTTCCTTAATTTCTCTTTCTGCTCTTTCATTGTTAGTGTATAGACATGCAGCAGATTTCTGTGTATTAATTTTGTATCCTGTAATTTACTGAATTCATTGATGAGCTCCAGTAGTTTTCTGGTAGCATCATTAGGATTTTCTATGTGTAGTATTATGTCATCTGCAAACAGTAACAGGATTACTTCTTCTTTTCCAATTTGGATTCCTCTTATTTCTTTTTCTTCTCTGATTGCTGTGGCTGGGACTTCCAGAACTATGCTGAATAAAAGTGGCAACATGGACATCCTTGTCTTGTTCCTAAATCCTAGAAGAAATGCTTTCAGCTTTTCACCATTGAGTATGATGTTACCTGTGGGTTTATCATATATGGCCTTTAGTTTCTTGAGGTAGGTTCCCTCTAAGACCACTTTCTGAAGAGTTTTTTTTTTTTTTTACATCTTTTTTAGAGTATAATTGCTTTACAATGGTGTGCTAGTTTCTGCTTTATAACAAAGTGAATCAGTTATACATATACATATGTTCCCATATCTCTTCCTTCTTGCATATTCCTCCCTCCCACCCTCCCTATCCCACCCCTCTAGGTGGTCACAAAGCCCCGAGCTGATCTCCCTGTGCTATGCGGCTGCTTCCCACTAGCTATCTATTTTACGTTTGGTAGTGTATATATGTCTATGCTACTTTCTGGCTTTGTCACAGCTTACCATTCCCCCTCCCCATATCCTCAAGTCCATTCTCTAGTAGGTCTGTGTCTTTATTCCTGTCTTACCCCTAGGTTCTTAATGACATTTTTTTTCTTAAATTCCGTATATATATGTTAGCATACAGTATTTGTCTTTCTCTTTCTGACTTACTTCACTCTTTATGACAGACTCTGGGTCCATCCACCTCATTACAAATAGCTCAATTTCTTTTCTTTTTATGGCTGAGTAATATTCCCTTGTACATATGTGCCACATCTTCTTTATCCATTCATCCGATGATGGACACTTAGGTTGTTTCCATCTCCGGGCTA